CCCTCCCTCTCCCTCTCCCTCTCCCTCCCCGCCCTTCCTTTTTTCTGAGGCAATCTCACTGTGTACTTCAGTATGTAGCCAGACTGGTCTCAAACTCACAATCAAACTGTGCCTGCTAGATTCCTTTATTTCCTCATCACTGATTTAGGTAATTAATGAGCTACCTATTCTAACATCTAAGTCAAAGTCATCCTGAAGTTGCTGAAAAGGGACAGGGCAGACCTATTAAACTGCAGAATGTTTCTGCATTTCATAGAGAAATAAAAATCACGTGGATATGTCCTCCTTCTTTCTTTGTAACTTCTTGTTTCACCCAGCTTAAATCATGATATGACCCTGGCTGAATTCAAGTTCATCTGGTACATGGAGTACTCACACCGCATGTGGGGTCGTGTTGTAGGTCTTGCATACATCCTGCCTGCTGCTTACTTTTGGAGAAAGGGTTGGCTCGGTCATGGCATGAAAGGCCGCGTTCTTGCTCTCTGTGGCTTAGTCTGCTTCCAGGTAAGATTTAATCAAGGTTGAGAAACTACAGCTTCAAGGAGCTTCCTAGCTGGCATTATTTCTAGGAAGTAATCTTTGAAGCACTGTAACAGAGTAGGTAAAAGTATGCATTTTAGTGTCACAGACACCTGCCACTTAGTAGGGCAAGCTCTCTGATCTTTGCGAACTATGATTTCCTTACCTTTAAATCCAGATAATAATAGTGTCTGTTATTTAGAGTTTGTGGATATTAAACCAGACAATAACGTAAAATGCACTTATCTGAGTGTCTGATGTCAGTAAGTGGTCAGAAAATGCATATCCATGTATCATAAGAAGTAGAATGGGTCCCATCATGAATCTCCTCCTGGGTTCTCTTCCCTTTTTCTTAAGAGTGGAATACTATGCTAGAATGGCTCTAGAGGCAAATAGGAAAACTCCAAAAGAGAAAAAGTTTGTGGGATGAAGGATCTTAGAATATAGATTTACCCAAGAGATATTTAGATATAAATAATGTTTAAAATCATTTAAGTAGGGGCCGGGAATGTAGCTCAGTGGTGCAGTATCTGCCTGGTAAGCACAAGTCCCTGAGTTTGAGTTTGATTCCCGGGACCAAAAAAAAAAAAAAAAAAAAATCATTTAAGTTAAATTCCTTTAAAGGAAGAAAGCTCCGAAAGACTCCAACAGTTAAGAGGTTGGGTAGGGGCTGGGGATTTAGCTCAGCGGTTCGGTGGCCTGCCTTGCAAGCGCAAGGACCTGAGTTCGATCCCCGGTACCAAAAAAAAAAAAAAAGGTTGGGTAAAGCTGACCAGCAAAAGGAATTATGAGAGAAGACACTTAAAAATATGTGGATCAAAGCATAATAGTTCCAAGGGAGAGTATCAGAGAAACATCAAAATTTGATTTGGAAGAAGCTAGTTGGTTAACTTATAAGTGACAATTTGAGCCACTTAGAAGGGATTAAAGGGGCAATAGAAACAGTAAGGAATTAAAAGTCTAATAGAGCTGGATGTGGTAGCGCATACCTGTAATCCCAGCACTCGAGATGCTGAGGCAGGATTGCCATGAGTTCAAGGCCAGCCTGAACTACATAGGAAGACCTTGTCTCAAAAAGCCAAAAGAAATTTTATAAAAAGGTCTAATAGTAATTAGAAAAAGTTAGATGGAACAAAATAAAATTTCATATTTTAGAATTAAACCAACACTAAAAATAGATTTCCAAGAAGGAAAAAATTTAAAAGTCAAAGTTATGGGAGGAAGAAAAGTGAGGGCTGGTGAATTATGCTGTATATGCCTTCCTCTTCCAGTGTCTTATGCAGCTGAAATCAGGGTAATTAGAATAGCCAGGTGATATTGAAAGAAGAAAGAATCCCAAAAACGATTTCCTGAGGAGTATATACTTGGAAGAAGTGGGAGAACCTAATTCTGCTGCTTTAGGAGAACAGGTGTGAAGGGACCATATTATATTTGATATAATTGGGACAGACAGTTGTTTGGTTAGTTGAAAAAGCCAGTTATAGCAGAGAAGGATCATAAAATATGATACATATCTAAATTTAGACATGTACTTTCACTGTCATTTTTTTTTTTCTTTTCACTCTAGGGCTAAGGCTTTTCTTTGAGTTCCCAGATTAGAGTTCAACTTCATATCTCTCCAAAAACTATGTTTTACAGCTTCATTTTCCTTAAAAAGGATGGGGGAGGGTTCAGATATTTACAAAGCAAACTGTCTACAAGGCCTTATAGATTGGTATGACCTCCCCTTAAAACTTTTTTTGAGACAAGGTTTCACGCTGTAGTTCAGGCTGGTCTTGAATTCATAATGATCCTCCTGCCTCAGCCTCCGAAGTGCTGCGATTGCAGGTGTGTGCTGCCACGCCCAGCTCCAGAACTTTAATAATTGCCATATGTCCACTTGACATGACAGTAATTGTTCTTAAGCAGTTATTTTAATTAAGGTTTTTCAAAGCAATCAATGTTTTCATAGTCAATTTTTTATTCATTGGTTTACATAATGTTAAATTTTCTCAACTATTTGTAAGATTTTGCATATAATGATAAACTTGTACTTTTTTATATTTGGATTATAGTTCAATAAAACAGAGGTAAAGTACTGATAGTAATAAATATGGAACTGTGGATGTCATGATTCTTGGGATATGGAAGGAGAGGTCAGGAAGGGAATAAAAGTAGTTTCAACTTCGATTTGCCTCTTTCTTTTGGGTGCTAGGGTCTGCTAGGATGGTATATGGTGAAAAGCGGATTAGAAGAAAAACCGGATTCCTATGACATCCCCCGGGTCAGTCAGTACCGCCTTGCTGCCCACCTTGGGTCAGCCCTTGTTCTGTATTGTGCCAGCCTGTGGACCTCACTCTCCCTGCTGCTCCCTCAGCACAAGGTAAAAGTCAGTCTGGATTTTTCTCACATCTGCACATGTGCTACCAGGGTCAGAAGGAAATGTTGATTCTAGTGAGAAATTACAAGTCGAACTTCAAATTCTCTTAAAGTAAAATCTGTCAGTTTTCCAGAAACAAGATTGTACTATAGTTTACAGATTTACTGAATGTGGGGACTTCAGGTACTTTTGAGACTGCAAAAACAAAACAATATATTTGGGGGAGGAGTTGGAACAATTCATTTAAAGGGAAATTAGCACAGGAGCTGAATTTTTTTAATTGTATTAAAATATAGCAAAATTTTTCATCTTTTCAATAACATTAAATATATTCACAGTATTGTACAACCGATCTTCAAAAGTTTTTGATTACCCATTAAATAATAACTTCTCAGGCCAGGAATTTAGCTCAATGGTACCACCATCTGCCTTGCAAGTACAAAGTCTGGAGTTTGATCCCTGGTACTAAAAAATAAAAAGAATAATAATAATAATAATAACTCCTCTTCTCTCCTTTCCTTTGCCCCTGGCAACCACAAGTTACTTTCTGTATGAATTTGATTACTCTAGATAACCTCATATAAATGGAGTATTTGTCTTTTTGTGGCTAGTTTATTTCATGTATCATTATTTCCTCCAAGTTAACTCCTGATGTAGCATGTGTCAGAATTCCTTATTTAAGGCACAGTACTGTTCCATTGTACATACATATGATGTTTTGTTTACCCACTTGTCATTGGACAAATTGCTTCCATTTTTTAGCTAATGCAAATAATGCTACTATGAATCTGGGTGTACAAAATGTCTTTTTGGTTTTAGTTCTTTTGCATATATATCTAGAAGTGCAATTGCTGGATCATATAAGAGCTGAGTATTTTGTCTGCATTGTCTGTTGGGAATGGTGCAAATATAAATTTTAGGGGAAAAGTGAGGAGTACCAACAATAAGAAATAGCCCAAACATTTTAACTTCTGACTTCTAGAAGAGGTAGTGGATAGGAAAGCAAGGCAGGCTAGAAAAGAGCTGTATCTTAACTTTTGGTGGTGTATATAAGCCATGCTGTTCATTGTTTGTTAATAGAGACCTACCATTCAAATTTCACATACAAGTGATTTGTCTAAAAGGGTTTTCTGTATGCAGGGTTTCCCTTAGGAAAATAAGAGTTTTTACATTTTATGCTTTGATATAAAAGCAAGATATGAGTATTTTTGAAGCCATCATTTATAATAGAGGTCTTAACTACACCCTTCAGGACACTTTTTCTAGTGTTTTAAAACCATGGTTAGGGATGTAGCTCAGTAGTACAGTGCTTGCCTAGCATATACAAAGTCCTAGGTTCTATTCTCGCACCAGAAGCAAAACACAGAAACAGTGATTATTACATGAGGTACTGAAATCATAGGTTGACCAGTGACAGCAAACCTTTTAGAGCTTTCAATGATACAAACAGCCCACTGCAGCATGCATGCTGTAGGTTTGCCACCACTGCCCTAGATAACTCTTCATCGAGTGGTTTGAAGAGATAGTTGGATTGTTAAGTAGAACCATCCAGTAGCTATTTGGAGCTAGTGGCTTGGATCCCGGTAAGGATTAGAGATGTTCACTTGGCAGTCATCCCCACAGAGAAGCCAGATGGTCGAAACATTGTAGTAGACTTTCAAAGTCAAACTTCTAAAATATGTTATGTGCATTGATAGCTTCTATTTCTTGACAACCCATTCTTTAAATTTCAGTCCCCATATTCTGACTTCTCCTCACTACTTTACACACAAATTCACGTGTATCCACACAGTTAGACATACATACCTATACATACACGCTGCTGAAATTAAACTCTTAAGCATTACTGATTATGTAATTTGTTTTCCCCTTTTTATTTCTTTGTATTACACCTAATTATGGAAAGGATTTGAAATGATGGTCATTTAACCACGTAGTGCTTAATTTTAACTAATTAAGATTAAATAAAATTAACTTTGTTTAAATCAAACTTTTTTTTTTTTTGGCAGTACTGAGGATTGAACCCAAGAAGTGCTGAGCTGTATCCACAGTTCTTTTTCTTTTTCTTTTTCTTTTTAAAAATTTTAAGGCAGTCTCTCCCTAAGTTGCCCAAGCTGCCCTTGAATTTGTAGTCCTCCTGTCTGAGCTTCCTACAGGCATGCACTGCCATGTCCAGCTTAGATGAACATTTTACTTAAACTTCATATTTAAATAAAAATAACATTTTATGCAATTTTGAGTCATACTAGGCAGTGTTTCAGTTTTGTTTTGTTTGAGACAAGGCTTACTATGTAGTTCAGGCTGGGCCTGAACTCACTATGTAGCCCAGGGTGGCCTCAATTTGTGGCAGTCCTCCTGCCTCAGCCTCCTGAGTGCTGTGATTACAGGTGTGCACCCCTACACCTAGCTTCAGTGTTTTGAGCCTTCATTACCCACAAATGATAAGATATATCCATCATCACAGAAAGTACCAGTAGACAGCATTAATAGTCTCTCCTACCATATCTTACTAATGGTAAGTAGCTTTTCACATTCTAGATTATAAGACATTTGAGGGCACCAATTAACTCCTTTGTATGTATGTAATGACCTGTTCATAAAATTATTAATATTTGTTGATATACTGATTAATATCAGAAGTTGGCTGTAGTAGAAATGAAAACAAATTTTGCCTTTACCACAAGCACTATCTTGGGCTGGGGATTTAGCTCATTGGTTCTGCTGCCTGTCTTGCAAACACAAGGACCTGAATTCAATCCTCAGTACCAAAAAAAAAAAAAAAAAAAAAAAAAAAAAAAAAAAAAAAAAAAAAAAAAAAAAAAAAAAAAAAAAAAAAAAAAAAAAAAAAAACCTACTATTGGCATTTTATACAATTTAGATTCTGACTATATTTGCTAAACTCTAATATCACACACAACATGAAAATCCAATCCGATCTTAAGCCAGTGATTGCAATCATAGAAAAACACTTTCCCAAGTAATGTAAGTCATTCAGTTACCAACAAATACATATTTGAGTACCTTCATGCCAAGCAGTAGGCAAGACAGATAGAAATGTATAATTGTAATAAAGTATCATGCATGTTAGAATAAGAATGTCTGTTCAGAGTACTTAGCCCTAGGAGCCAGTGAAGTTCTAACCTTAAATTGGCACTTATGTTTGGCCTTGGAGATCTTTTGCTGTCTCTCCTGATGCCTGAAATCCAGTTGTGATTTCTTTCTTATTTAGCTGCCTGAAACCCGCCAACTCCTGTGGTTGAGACGATATGCTGGTGGAACAGCAGGTCTAGTGTTCCTTACAGCTCTCTCAGGTAAGACCCTTCTCATCAGAGATGGCCTGGTTTGTTTCTCGTCCAGGTGGGATCTCTTGCCTAATGCTTTGCCCTTCCTCCTGCATCTTCCTATTTCCTTTACATACTTGTCTTGTTCCCACCCTCTTCACCATGTTGATATCTGCCTGGATCTAGCCTGTCCAGATTCAAGTTTTTGCTTCACCTCCTATGACCAGAGTGACTGTGGCAACTTATAGAACCCTGTGTGGAACTGAAGGCTTCAGTGACCTCATCTGTAAAGTGGAAATGATGACTGTAGTGGGAATAATATATGTGACCTGCTTAGAATAGTACCAGGCATGAAGCAGAAGTTACATAAGGGTTAGCTGTTTGTGCTGTATAGCATTATTGTGATTACATTACACTAAGTTGGGTCAGACAAAAGGCCTTCCCTTAAAGATGGTCAAAGGTGGAGAGTTCATTAGGAGAGAAAGAACAATACAGGGTTTTCTCGTTAGGCCACAACTCCACTTTAACCTCTGCCACTTCAGAACTGCACTAACAGCAGTATCAGTAGCTCCATTTGGTTAGCTAAATTAATTAAAATTAAATAGAATCCAGTTATTTAGTCAAACTGGACACGTTTTGAGTACTTACGGCTAGTCAATTGAATAGCACAGCTTTAGAATGAAAACAGTATGGATTTAAACTAGTGATCTACCCAACCCTTTTCTGTCCTCTGTTCTTTTTTCTCCTTTTCTTCCTCTTTCTTTTTTGGTTTGAGAACATGAATTTTTACTTCTTTATAAGTGACATTCCCAAAAATAAGTTGTATGACCCAAACTTCTGAATCTTCTTTGATCATAAATGATGGCTCATTCATCTCTTAATTCACAGATGCCCTCTTTTGTATTTATCCAGCATTTAATGAATAAATTTTGAATTTTGTCTAATTCTTATGTTCATCTAACAGACATTGAGCACTTGGAGAAGATACTGCATAGTAAAAACATAATGTGAGCTGGGCATGGTGGCACATGCCTATAATCCCAGTACTCTGGAAACCTGAGGCAAAAAGATCACAAGTTTGAGCCCAGTCTGAGAAACTACACAGCTTAGCAAGACCCTGTCTGAAAAATTAAAATAAAAAAAGGGCTGAAGGAGCTGGGCATGGTGACACATGGCTGTAATCCCAACCTCAGGAGGCTGAGGCAGGAGGATTGCCACAGAGTTCTAGGCCAGCCTGAACTACATAGAAAGATCCTGAAAAACAGACAAAAGGATGGGGATGTAGCCCAGTGTGAAGTCCCTTGATTTAACCCCCACTACCAAAAAAAAAAAGTCAGATATTCATGCTATAAAGAAAAATAAAACAGGATGAAGGAGTACAGTGAGGTGGAGTAGAAAAGTGCCATTTTATATAGGACATCAGGAGAGATTTGTTTGCTAAGGTGACATTTGATCAGAGCCATAAAGGTGTGAAGGAAGAGATTCTACACACACTTGTTCAAAATATATTAGTATTCAGCGGGAGGGGAGAAGGCATCAGAATCCTAAGGGAATTTTCCCAAGATAACAGCTGTCCTTACCGAGCTTCTAGTCCTAGGAGACATGCAAAACTCTTAGGTGAGAACATGTGAAAAATACAAAGTTACTGAGTTTTTTTTAAGTTCCCATGGTGATTGTGATGTATACTCCCAATTTGAGAGCCCTGTTATAGATCTGTGATTCTCTGGCTATCTCCTTTTTCTAACTTTGAGATAATAGGCTTTTTCTATATCTATTCTCTCATTTTAAGTCTCGCTTACCTTGGAATACAGGGGCTTTTGTGGCAGGGCTGGATGCCGGTCTTGTTTACAACTCCTTCCCTAAAATGGGAGAATCCTGGATCCCAGAGGACCTCTTTACCTTCTCCCCAATCTTGAGGAATGTTTTCGAGAATCCCACCATGGTGCAGTTTGATCACCGGATCCTGGTAAGTGTGGCTAGCAGTTCCTGCTGCCGACTGAGCACGGGGAGCAGCACACAGGTTTTGAAATATCATGAAGCACTGATGGCATTAGTCAGTGGCCAGAACTATATTTCCCATTCTTATTCAGAAAACTGCAGGACAAATTCTGTAGTCTGGTGTTTTGTACTTATTACTCACACCCCTTCCACATATTCTAGTGCAGGACATTTTGAGTTTCTTTAAGTTCGAGTATGCCTTTCCTCACCTGGCAAGTGATGACCTCCCTCGGTCCCGAACACACCTGGACATTCGTTTCAGCAGATACAAAGTTGAGAAGAGAAGCATGCAGAGACTCTGGTTGCCACACACATAGTTATTAACTCCAGAGAGCAGGAGCCTCGCTAATACTTTTCAGTTTATTTAAGCTCATAGGCACTGAACTACTGCTGTGGGCTTTGCATGGTAGGATTGGCTTAGCAACCTGGGCATGATAAATTGGCACAGCAAGGAAAAGCAGAAGTAGTAGTGCTGGGTAAGGCTGAGTAATGGGAGGTGGACTTGAGCATAGTAAATTCAAAGAGAAGTTTTAAAAGAAATAACCAACAGAAATGGGACCATCGGAGTGAGTTTTGAGCTAGAGATGAGAAATGTCATTAGATCAAGGTGTGTTGAGTGTGACATGATAGGTACATCTGGATAGAGAGGTCTGGAGGACTCAGCCAAGGGGTCTGGGGCTAGGGCATGTTATCTTGTGTGAGTTTAGTCCCACCTCTACACAGTATTTTGGCATGAATGAAGTTTGGTTGAAATTGTCATGGACATCTTTGCAAAAGAAAAAAAAATGAAATAGGTATGGAAATAAGGTAAAAAGAATAATTCTCGACATCATGAACAAGGAAGAGAGACCTTATTGCCAGCCCCAGACCCTCATTCTAAAGGGGCAGGAATGAAAATGAGACTTTTATCTTTGCAGCAGTTAGTAGCACTACCACCTAGTCCACTTGAAAATAATAACCATCATGTGTTGCTTTAAATGTAGAATTAGAGATAAAATTAGATATAAGGATGTTCTAAAGAATGATCTAAAAAGTGATTCTAGAAAAGTAGAATCAAGTCTGACATAACCCCTTTTTACAGACATGACAGCGCTGTATCATTCCCGTGAATGTAAAATACCCACCTGGTTCATGATACATCGTAGCAACTGTGCTTTGTCAGCATTTTCAGTGATACTGCTCTAGCATGTTTTCTTTCAAGATGACGACTAAGAAGCTAATAAAAATAGTGCAGGTTACCAAAATAGTTTTTTGTTTTTAGTGGAATATGCTGGATGTTTCTATGATTTTGTTCAGAGGACTGCAAGAACCTGGGAAAGTTGTTGCTTATGATGCATAACATTCTGCTATTATTGGTCTTTTTATATAAATATAAATATACATACAATATGTGTATGCATAATTTGAATTTTTGGAAACTTTGGCTGTGTTGTCAACTTTGGAAAAAGTATCCCAGTTTACAGTGTTGAGTTGGCATTGTGCAAAATTAACAGCCATATTGGTGTGGGTTTGATTACAGAAATTAACAGTATTATGAAAATAATGAAAAGAAAAAGTGAGGGTCACATCTGGGTGACACCCACCTTGGAAGGTGTCTTAGTGCACTGAGATAGACTACCTGTGTATAGAGAGCGATACGTACACAATCTCCGGGGTATCCGTGGGTAACACTGACACAGAAGCTGCAAGAAGAAGAGACTAAGCAGGAATAACTAAGGTGGAACTAGTTTCAGGATGGCTCCCTTTGGTTAGTACAAGAAAGTAATTTAAGGTCACTCTGCTTCCAGAAGAGACATGTAAATTTAGTGGAAGTCCTGGCATGTGAGTGGGACCTCCACTCTTGTGATGAGTCTTTTTTTCCCCACAGGGAATCACTTGTGTCACTGCCATTACAGCGCTTTACTTCTTGTCTCAGAGGATCCCCCTTCCTCGAAGGACCAAGATGGCAGCAGCGACTCTGCTAGCTTTGGCATACACACAGGTACAAACCACTTCTCCTTGGTCTGATGGTATCCCCCAAACAGAGTTAGAAAGGGAAAGTGACAAACTGGAAGAAAATATTTTTAATATTTGTAATAGATTAATAAGAAAATAAAGGGTATCAATCTCATAAGAGGAATGATGGCCAATTAACATGACCTCACCAATAAACATAGCCTTGCTCACAATCAGAAAAGAGGAAATTAATGAGTACTGTTTTTGTGCCTATCAATTTGGGAAGAAATGAAGGGAAACAGAAGGAAGATAATCAGGAATTGCCCCGGGTATAGAAAAACAGATACCTTTAAATATTTTTGGAAAGAGTATGGGTTTTTATAACTTTTCAGAGAGAAATTTGGCAATATCATTTAAAGTGATAACATAATCCTTTGGCCTAACAAACCATTTGCCCTAGAAATAGTCTAATGCTTTGTTTAAGGAAACTCATTACAGACTTGTGATGGTGGAAAACTGGGAACAATTTAAGTATTAAACAACCATGGTAAATTTACTTCGGAATAATGTGCAGAAGCTTAAAATAAGATTTAAGATATCAAAAATGAGAATCAAGACCTATTATGTAAAGGTACAGAATCCCAATGATGAATGTAACTGTATTGTATACCTAGATTGTACCAATAAACTCAATAAAAAGAAAAAAAGATTTAAGATATCAATTGTTAGGTAAAAAATAAATGACAACAATATTTTTAACAGCATGAATGGCGTATTTCTTTGTAAACAAATATCTGAAAGTGTAAGTGTGTAGAAACTGGTAACAGTAAGTACCTCTGGGGAGCTAGGATGGCATACAGCAGTGGTGGCAAATGTATGGCATGCGTGCCACAGCGGGCTGTTTTTATCATTGCAAGCTCTGAAAGGCTCGCCATCATGGGTACAGAGGGTAATTTAGGAGAATTTTGGGTTTGCTTACTGTCTGAAGTTTCTTATTGTAAGTGTACTTATATACATTATCTATTTAGTGTTCTGTTGGGATAATGTAGAGGTTAGTGTATCTGGTTATCTGTGCCCGCTTATGTTCAGTCTAAACTTGTGGTTTCTGTTTTTACTGCTCCCTTTCCTTTATATAGGTGATCTTGGGCATTAGCACTCTGCTGATGTACGTTCCAACTCCTTTGGCTGCCACTCACCAGTCGGGCTCTTTGGCTTTGCTTAGTGGTGCCCTTTGGTTTATGAATGAACTACGAAGAGTCCCCAAATAATTCTTGGAGGGTCAGCTCCCTGGGACTGAAAATGGTTTTGAGAGCTCATCAAAGAAGACAGAACTTGGACTTCCTATGAGGATGACCTTGACATGCCTAGTGGTTTCCAAATTGGTCAAGTTATTTAGAACTTTTTGCCTATTTGAGACAGTCACTAGCTCAAGAATGTCATGAATTGTGGTTATGCCAGAGATTCCTTTTTAAATGTTACCTTCATGGGGCTGGGGATTTAGCTCAGCAGTTTGGTGGCCTGCCTTACAAGCGCAAAGACCCGAGTTCAATCCCTGGTACCAAAAAATAAATAAATTAATTAAATAAATGTTACCTTCATGTTGAAAATCAGGCATATTGTATAGGAAGAAATGTGTGCTATATATTATTTCTTAATGGCCCTATCTCAGTTTTCTCAGCGTTGGCGGGCTGTCGGTTATACAAGCACGATTTCCATGTACTTGTGCCCCTGGGTCCTCCTCACCAGGGTCCAGCTGGTAGAGACAGTAACTGCAGAGCAGTGCCCCAGTTAAAGGTTTAAACCATGACTAAGCACTGGCCCACTGCTAAGTTGTAGGATGATAAGATCTTCTGGTTTTTTTTTTTTTTTTTTTAAGGAAGCCAAATATTGGAGATTTATGTGAAACCTCTTAATTAAATGTTGGCAACTAATTTCAAGTTTTTAAAAATGTAACAGGTTTAACATGTCTGGGAGTCATACATGACCTGAGATTGCCTGTTTGTAATTTCTGAACTAGATGATCTCAGTTCCCGTTCAACTCGTGTTTTGTGAGTTTCAGTGTGACTCACACTGTACCATTCTCAAATGTTCTTAGCAAAACAAAGGTAGACAGTTGACTGTGATGTTCCAAAAATCCCAGATCCTGATGGGCTTATGCTATTGCTTAGACATGGTTCCCAACTCCTCTCACATTAAAATTTTTTGGAAATCTCAAATCCCAAGCTTCAACCAAGACAATTAAATTACAACTGCAAACAAAAATAGGCTGGATTTTAAGTTTCCAAGTGATACCAATGTGCCTGTGACTTTGGGGACCACTGGTCCTACCCTTACAGCCTCGGTACCCCTTAGAAAGTTCTCACCAGCTTAGTGCCATTCCTCCTGAAATTCCACCCTATTCCATCTCACTTAATGTGCTGTGTGGTGATCTTGTGTGTATGTTAACAGGATATTGTCTCTAGATAACAGAATTCCTTAAAGAAAAGGAACTGTAGTTACTGGGGCAGAAAATCCAAATTCTCCTTAGTTAATAACTGAGACAGCAGAGGGCAGTATAATGCAATCCAAAGAACCATATACTAATGCTTTTACAGTCACTCCAGAAAAGTAGCAATTCATGAGTAAGTTCAAGCTTCAATTTACTTCATTTTTCATTTATTACAGTTGAAGATAAGTTTGGAAAAACATCTTGTATTTAGCTATATAACTGCATTATGCAATCCACGAGCTCCTGGTGAACAGAAAATCTTAATTATTTTTGTATGTGTTATTCCCAGAGCCACCAGACACATAGTAAATACTGAATGGAATGACTGTATGAATGAAAAATAAGCAATTACAGATTGATGTTCCAAATACCTCTTTAAATCACATACTTAAAGGATTAAATGATTTTCCCTTAATATTTTCAAAGGTCTCAACAGTTCTGTCATTTATAAGCATGAGGGAAATTAAAACACACATTTTATTTTAATCAGTCAACTCAATTTTTTTGGTCTTTAACATACATTAACATATGCTGTGCAGAGATAATGATTAGCAGTTGCCTAATGATGTTGGTTGTAAAAGTAACACTGATGACCATGGTTTTAGGACTAGTTTACCTGCTTCTATCCTTTTGGTCTTGGGACAAATAGTGGCTTAAATATAGGCATTTGTAACATGTACTTATGTCCTTGCAATAAGGGTGACTGTGTTTCACCTCTCTTCTAATGTGCATTAAACATTTTCTCAACATTGACATAATGTCTGTCAGTGAGAAATTTAAAGATTATTCAGCAAAATTTTATTTAATGTTGTGAAGCATTAGAAATATACAGACTTCACAGCCCCTTCCCCCCAAGTAATGTGATATAGGCAGCCTTTGGTCTTCTAAATGTAGTAGCCAGGTTTGGTGGTACACACCATTAATCCCAGCACTTGCGAGGCTGAGGCAGGAAGATCCCTGCAAGTTCCAAGGCCAGCCTGCCTATGTAGTGAATTCAAAGAACAAAATAAAGTGTGTAATGTCTACTTGTGGATCACAATAAAAAGATGCTTGTCAGCTGCTTTGCAGAGGCTGTTGCTCAAGGTAGAAATGGAGAAGATGTACTTTACCTCAGAGCTTCAACAATGTGAACTGTGGAAAGAAAATTTAAAATGCATCATAACAGAAATACTAGAAATCAAAGAATTTGGGATCCCTGCTGACAAAGACAGGAAGGTAATGGATGGACCTTTCACCACCAGTGGGTCCACACTGGCAGATGCTCCCATAGGAGAGAATGTTTAGGAAAGTACCAGGACTACCTCAGAGCGGTGCTGTAGTTTGGGTCTGGAATGTCCCCCAAAGGCTCATGTGTAAGGGCTTGGTTCACAGGGTGGCACTACTGTGAGGTGGCAGGACCTCTGAGAGCCAGGGCTGCAATAGGTCTGTAGGTCATTGCAATCATGGCAAAAGGGATTGTGAGATTCTAGCTCCTTCCTCTCTCTCTCTCTTTCTGCCCCAAGGTGAGTGGTTTTGTTGCACCACTCCCACCAGTGTGCCACCTCACCACAGGCCCAAAGCAAAGGATGCCATTTAATCTTGGACTGGAACCTCCAAAACATAGAATGCAACTTTTCCCTTTGTATGTTAATGACCTCAGTTATATGATTACGGTAGTGGAAAGCTAACAGTGGAGGAGCCATGAGTCACCAGAGGGTCATGAAGTGGCTGCCCCACTTGGCAAGAGCAGGCTCAAGCAGACACGTTTTTGGATTTTCCTGATAGCATTTCTCAAGGGCTTCAAACTTCCTGTAATTCACAACATCATTTACCTTCGGTTTTTATAAAAATAACATTGATCATATAATTAAAATGAAAGCTCTTATAGCATGAGCAACAATTCACTTCTACACATAAAAGGATTTCCTTATTGCTTAATTTCCAAAAAACAAAATGGTCACCTGATGTAGTATTTCTTCTCTGTCCCTACAATAAGATTATTGAAAAAGTGGGACATAATGAAATACTAGGGAGAGAGCAAAATGTGTAGTAATACAAGGACAGACTTAGGATACAAAAAAAGGGGGCTTAAAGAGGCTTCAACAGAACTGGGAGTTTGGCTCAGTGGTTCTGCTACCTGCCCTTGCAAGAGCAAGGGCCTGAGTTCAACCTCGGAACCAAAATAAATAATTTTTAAAAACCAAAAAAGAAAAAAAAATTATATATATATATGGCTTCAACAAAGTGCTTCAACTTTTCAACTTACATCTTTAGGAGAGAGAAAACCAACTACAAAGCCGTAAGAAATACAAATCATTACCTAGAATTACTTGATTTTGGATACATTCACTGTTTGCAAAAATGTTTGCTATTCTATTTTGTTAATCAAGAGACCCAAAACTTGGTTTTGAGTCTTAATTTTTTAAACATTTTTTATAATACCAACAAAATCCTCAAAAGTTTGACAAAAGCATATTGTTCTAATGGCAAGACAATGATGCTATCTATTGCTACTTCTGCCTTAAATGTTAATCCCACATGGTGCAATGAAGTTATACCACATGCTATAATACAAAGGAAAATTAGATCCAATTTCTAAACTAGTTAAAAGACAACACCCTCAACACTCCTTTTGTAACAAAGTCTGAAAATTGCCCGAGAATTACAAGTAAGTTTCTTAATGAAGTAGCTGAATGGTAATAATAGGCATTATACCTTTCTTTCTTTATGTGGTGCTCATGATTGAACATAGGGATTGGTGCCTGTTAGGCAAGCACTGTAAATATATTGCAGCCATTTTGGGGAGTTTTTGAGTAGCTGGCATTAGAGGCACGCATACCATGCCTAACGAGCATTTATACTTTCATTTGTAACCATGTTAATTAATTGAATGCTGTGATTAAGAAAATGGTGCAAAATTAAGCAAATTTTGCCTTAAAGAGACATCCACAATTTAAAATGATTTAAAAGCAATACAGAAACTAAAACAGAGGTGGAAAAAACTTGGCACTTTGTTTTTTAAGACAGGGTCTCGCTATATAGTTCAGGCTGGCATTAAACTTACTGTGTAGCCCACTCTGGCCTCAAACTCATGGTGATCCTTCTTTCTGCCTCAGCCTCTCAAGTGCCAGGATTACAGGCCTGTGCTATCATGCCTAGTGACTGTTTCCAAGTATTTCAAAGTGTATTCCTAAGTGTGTGCAAAGCAATCATGGAGGATCACAAGCCTTTATAAAGATTGAGCACAGTTACCTGCAGCCAGCTGTACTGTAGATTCTGTCGGAATATACTCACGGATTTTGTCAAGGAGCATTCCGCTGCAGCTGTCGAACTCTTCTGGGGGAAGGTTAAGGAAAAAATCTAGGGTCCAGGAGGCGACTCACTGTGACTGAACATAATGCAATTGCTCTGGTCCTCAGTTACATCATCCATAAGAATCAAGGAAGGCCGACTAGATATCTTAACTTTCCAGCTTTAAAACTCCCATACTGTCTCATCCCGTGATGTCTCCACCATGTTATGATGCAACAAGGAGACTCAGCAGATGCTAGCTCCATGCTCTTGGCTGCTCAGCCTCTAGAACCATAAGCCAAAGAAATATCTATTCTTTATAAATTAAAAAATAAAAACAAGAAAACTTCTCATCTGAAATGTCTTTATAGTGATTGCTGTTGGAAACTATTTCCATCAACCTTAATGTTAGAGATTAAAGATAGAACAGGAAGCTCTTTCAGGCTGCCTAGTCATCTAAACCAAAGACTAAAATTCTCTCTGAAATCATGTGACCTTGTTTCATGCCTTTAGTTCCTCTTCATGCCTAGCCATGTTTTTATAGACTAGAACTAAGCAGGAGAGGGCAACTGACCTATCTGATGTACTACAGCTAGAAAATTACAAAGCCAGGACTAGAGTCCAAATGAATAGTTATGCATTAAATACAACGTTCCTTCCCTTAAATGTTACCGCCCACATGTCTCAGCCAAGAAACTCCAAACCATGACACTGTGAGAGGCAGAGGGGTGTGTGTGTAGGGGGGAGGGTCTGTTTAGACAATAGTAGTAAGTATAAGTTGATTACAAAAATGTAAGTATGAAAGTAATAGCAAATGTTAATGCCTAAAAAAGACTAGCTTAGTGCACAGCAGGATTTCAGGCAATATTTCACTACACTCTACTCAAGGCCTTAAAGGAAACTTATAGACTAAGGACAGGAAGGGGCAGAATACTTTGGATGACATTTGGAGGATAAATACAATTTTGGCAGAAAATGATTAAAATTTACTAACTCAAGGAAATTCAATTCTAGGATATAAGGTACAGAGAGAGACAGTATAGTTTGGCTTAGAGCTAACAGTAACTTAAGTAAATGTAAGGCCATATAAGTGACATTACACATATTTTCATTATGTTCTAGTGACAATTCAGAGAAAAATGTTGAGTTGAACTACCATAAGATTAATAAAGCATCAATGTAATAAGCCACTGACTCCAATTTTGACATACTGTGGGGCCTGTCTCAGTACAATTCTGGGTCTGTTCCTGTTACCAGGAATGGTTGGGAAGATTCAAGGAACCAAGGGAATGTGAATTTTATGACACCATGATTATCTTCACAAAGGAACACTCAGCATGCACAAATTTTAAAAAATCTTTAAAATTGGAAGGCTAAAAGAATAAAAGAATGGCAAAACGGATTTCTGGTCTTATAAACAAGAATATTTCTTATGAGGAAATGATACATGTAAGTTACTTGGCCTTCAGCAAAGAATAAATGACTTCTCTTTCTAGCTAATGAGGTTTCATTAAATCTACTAATTGGGAGAAATGGAAGCAGCACAGGAACTAAATCCGAGAGCAAATTTTTAGTTCTTCTGAAGGGTATAATCATTTTCATTTTTATACTACAGAACTTTGGCAAGCAATAAAAACAAGCCTAGGACCCATATTTTAAAAATAAACAGGATACCATAAACTAAACAAAAACTCAAAAACCAATTAAAATAAGAATCAGAAATATATTTATATTGAAAAAATGATAAACATAAGTATCCTGAGATTCTCAACTATAAAGAGCACAGTAATATCTGCAAGGTTGCAATGATTAAATAACACACATAAAATTCTTAAATTTATGGTACATGATTGCTTAACAAATGACAACCATTATTACAACAAGGATGAAAGATATCTTTTCTAGTAAGAGCTTTAAAGTTGGACTCATCATTACCTCCCTGCTTCGACTTCAGCTTAAGTATACAACTATGATCACAGTCAATCACAGTTTTTTTGACCAGATCTAAGGAAGTGAAAAATAGTATTTGGAAACCATGGTGAAGTGAAGAGAAAATGTTACCTGAGTAGGCATGGCTAGCAAAATATTTTGACGTTTTTAAGTATCATTCACAAGACAAAGGATCATATAACACAACAATAAGGAAAGGCAACTGAAATCTTAAAATTAAAGGAAATTGCTATGATATAAGCCCCAATGAAAGGTAAAATATATTTTATCTAATCTGAAAACAATTCAAAACTTACCACCCTTTTACCTACTAATTTAGAGTCAGTGTACTTTTGTCTCAGCTTATTTCTAGGAATATCTTAATTTCTTTTTTTATTATTTTATGAAGGATTTAAATCCTTTTTGTTCTCAGTATGAAATTTCTTTTTGAAGAGTTCCACTTTTATTCTTTGAAGCCAGAGACCCCTTTCTCTGTTTATCTAATCCTAGAAATCAGAGGTGCTGTGGATGTAGCTCAGCGACAGAGTGCTTGCCTCATATGTGCAAGGCCCCTTGGTTCAGTCCCCAGCATTACATACACACACGGAAAGCTACTTTAATCATCTTGGAAGCATATTGATGGGAAAGACACTCGTGGCTATGGCTATACCTTCATACAGCAAAAAATAAAGAAGAATCCACGGGGGAAGGCGAAAGTTGATGAAAAATCCTCATGCAATGGGAGAGCTAAATGTAGAGGAGAAGCAAAGCTAAAGGGCAGTGGATGAAAATGTAATTATCATGGCTTTTCTCTCCTCACTAATGCAAGCGCTCTCTGTGACTGAGCAATCTTTTAATACATGTTCTGGAAGTTGCCAGGTGGCTTCTTAGGAAATTTATCTATTTATTCCAAAGTTTAGCATTTGCTGTCTTTTAGACATTCTAAGAATCAGAAATTAAGAAAAAGATTTTTTTAAAGCTTTCATTATATGCTTTTGTCCACTCTCTTGACACTGTTCTTGTCAAACAAACCAAATACATCCTTTCCCAAACTACATACTGATCTTAGCAATGAAATAAAGGAACTCTCTTTGAAGCTGTACATAAAAATATGCCTACATGACAGGTTTTTGAAACCATACAAATATAATAGTTTCTCTATCCTAGAAGCACACTTAAGGCTCAAAAAGCAAAATTAATGCCCAAACAGCCTGTGAAGCACCTAGACATGAAAACATTTCCTGCGTAGTCAGACGAGGCATAAGATAAAATATTGTAAGACTGTAATGGACCACCCATTTATAAAGGGTTCTAAACCTTTTACAATATACCAACACCAACACTGCCAAGGGTCTTAGATCATACCCACAACAGCTTCTTTGTCAAGTAAGCAAGGAAGTTGTGTCATTTTGGTTGCTTGGAAATTCCTATATGGTCCATTGAACTGCAAAGATCTTGGATCCCTATTAAAGGCTGTGGATGTCCACAAAATGATATCTCTGTTACAGAGAAAGAAGGGGCTGCTGCACTTGCTAGTATGTCTGGTTTTAGATCTGATGCTTCAAGTTTGGTTTCAATCAGGCTTCCACTATGCCAAATGCCAAACTTGATGCTTTAGCAAGGGGGATTGCTAAATCCCAGGAATACACCAGATCTCTGAAATATAGAAGCATGCTTCAATTGGACTAATCTTGGTTACCTCTGTTAGCACCAATCCTCATCATTTAATTCCTCACAGAATAAATTATAGTTTCTCTCTGAGAAGAGGACCTGGGCACTAAGGAATTAAAATGGAAATTAAAGTAGAAATTCCAAGGCCAAAGCAGCATCTGAGGCCAGTACAAAAGAAAAAAATGGAGGAATTCAATGAGCAGCAATTCTGGGATACTTCAGTTTCTTCAGTTCTGGTCCCGCCTCATGGTCCAACCTGTACCCCAATCATTGGCACCACCTCTTCAATCCACAGCAAGTCCAGGGGAGCTGAGGCTCGAGTTTGTCGGCGGTGAATTCGGCGGAGCCGCAGAAGGTACAGGATGATGGCCAGTAGCACCACCAGGATACAGGCAAAAAATAGGTAATGGTTGTACACAAAGGAGAGACGGAACCAGTTACCATGAACTTGTCGGACACCTTCCTGTCGAAGATCCCTAAGGAAAGCAAAAGAACTGTTAGTTCTTTTATCACAGGCCTAGTGTTATTATCCCATTGATTCTATCCACACAAACATTCTGACACCAGCTCTGCAAGCAAGCAAAGGTGAAAAATGTCCCTAACACCAGGACTGACGTGATTATTTCTGCATCGTCCTTTCCATGACCTACAGAAGGCAGCTTGCAAGCATATACCATCCAGAATCTCAGGACAAAAGTGGGAGGCCTTTGAAACTAAAGCCAAAAAATCCAGCTGAACAGAAAGGTAAGACTGATAATCTGCAACATAAATCTTAATTTGTAAATATGGTACTGATTGAGACTAGGGTATCCCCTGAATCCAACCAAGAAATCGGAAGGTGCTGATCTTTAGAAGATCTTTAGAAGATGTTACATTTCCTTAGGATTTAGCATATTATCTAAATAAAGGTATAACCTGATCAATTATGTTATGGAAAAACATGGAAAAAATAGGTACTTAAAGTACAGTAATCTATCGGTCTGGTTAGAACAGAAGCCCCTCTTCAGTTGTCCAAATGCTGAATCCATTTTGTGTTTTGTTTAGCCTGTGGTGTTTTTAAAAAATGTGAATCTCCAAACTGAAAGATTTCATATAAAATATGGATTTCTTGCCTTCTCTGGACAAAAGAGAACTGGAGAATGCTGGAACAGTGCTCTGCAGAACAGTAACCAGCCCTTAGTTGAGGCACATTCTGATTCACTATAACCCCACAAGCCCACTTCCCTCACTTCAATCACCTGCCTGATTCTGACAGCACAGAGGAACAAACATCAAAGATTAAGAATTCATCCAAGTTTATCTGAAACAGTACAGGGGAAATAATACCTAAAATTGTCCCAAATGTCTTACAAGACCTAATAGCAATACCCCCTAAAAACAATACATGTTTTTGTTCTAGTTCTAGACCACCAGGTTGTATGGCTTAATTCTAGAGCGTCTCCCAAAGGCTCATGTGTTCAGAGCTAGCGTTTTTGTAAGGTGGCTGAATCAAGAGACACTATACTCAACAGTGGCATAACCCACTGGAGAATCATAGTTAAGTGTGTTGTCAGGAGGTGCTGCCCGTCAGATGAGGTGGGTCACTGCAGATGTAGCCTAGAAGGGTATGCCTCCTTCATGGCTCCTCCTCTCTTCACCTTCTGCCTCCTGGTCATCATGAACAGAAAACACGAGCAGTTTTCCTCCACCGGAGCTTTCCACCATACCCTTCCTGCCTTGAAGCCAGCTGACTATGGACTAACTCTTCTAAAAACTGTAAGCCAAAATAAACCTCTCCTCCTTTAAGTCGTGGATGTTCAGTATTGTGTCCAGTGACAGGAAAGTAACAAAGACAGGTCAATGACTGCTTTTTGGTTTTTGGTTGTTTTTCTGTTTGGTTTTGTTTTTTGGTTTTTTGAGACAGGGTCTCACTATGTAGTTGAGACTGACCTAGAACTCACTATGTAGTCCAGGCTGGTCTGGAATTCACAGTGATCCTCCTGCCTCTGCCTCCCGAGTGCTGGGATTATAGGTGTGTGCCACCACACCCGTCTTAATGACTGCTTTTTGAGTGGCTTCACCCATTAGGGAAGCATATTCTATCAGACAGCCTATCCCCCTTCTCTAGTCACATCATGTTTTTCAGGGTAATTTAAGAATGACATTTCAGTTCATCAGTCAGCATCTTAGAAGTAGGAGGTAAGAATTAAATCCTAAAAACTGATTTATTGTATTGTAATAAACCTGATTCCCTGAAACAGCAGAGCAAAGGAACAGACTTCACACCAGTAATTCTTAACTTTCTGTTTCAGCATGCCTAGTTAGAACAGTGGCTCACATAGATGTGATAATAGGAATCTGCTTGCTTGGGTGGCAAAGGTAGAAGCAGGCATGACTTAAATCTCTTTTGAAGCACTGACTAACATCCTCTAAGCCGAACGTGTCAGCATGGTCAGTCACATTTACCTGAGTGGTAAGAATCGAGTTTTATAGAGAATCGCTCCCAGTGTCCACTGAACTTCTCGGTCATACACCAGCTGGGCTGTCCGCAGGTTTGGGTAGTCATAGGGAAAGTGGAATCCTTCATGTAGGACTTGGTACATCCAAGCTGACTTAAAACACTGATACCTGATGTGACAAAAAGAAAAAAATATGTTTAAAGATGAATTTTAACACTTTTCTTTGCAACAAGCCACTTATACCCACTAGATGTGAAAAGACCTGCCTGTGCCTGGACTCTTCCTCATCTATAAGGTGAGCCAAATTTCAGCCTACTTTACCTTACTACAAAAATGAAAACTGCTTTCTGGCAATAATGGTATTGTATCTTTGGTTTCTTTTTCTTCCCTTCTCTCTTCCTTCTTTCTGAGTCCTTATCTTCAGAGAATGATAATATTTAAGATTTGCTTCAAAATAAGCCAATAAGCAGCAGATAGTGAGTGGGGGAAAAAAATCAGACAGGAATTACTGTTAGTGGCAAAGCTGGGTGAAAAGTGCACCGGAGTTTGTTATACTATTTTATTTTTCTTTATAACTTCAAAAATTTCAAACTATAACATTTACAAAATGGGAGAGCCAATGAACCAAACTGGCAAAATGTTGATAGTTGTTGAAGCTAGCTGATAGTTACAGGCTACTATTCTTTCAACTTTTCTGCACAGTTTTTCTATAGTAAAATTTTTTTCTTTCTTTCTTTCTTTCTTTTCTTTTTTGGTACCAGGGATTGAACTCAGGACCTTGCACTTGTAAGGCAGGCATGTTATCACTGTCACTGAACTAAATCCCCAGCCCCATAGTAAAATATTTTTTAACATAAAAAAGACCATCTATTTTGCTGTCAAATTACTTGGTAAGAACTCTTGGGTAACCACTGATTTCTCTTGGCGTAAGAAATTGGGTTACTATTTGGGCCCTGTTCCCTCTGAAAATCATTATCTGAAATAATCAAATTCTCCTTCAACATAAAATCAAATCTGTTCTACTGCTTGATCACTCTCCATCATAATCTGCCATCTATATTTTAAGGCCATATCTACAGTGGAAAGAAAGTGACTTACTTGAGTCGATGTTCATCCGCATGTGAAGAAAAGAGGCCATTTCTGAATCTCTGAGTTAGTACTGACCAGGCCATGCCACAGTAATCCTGCAACGGCCACACAGAAACAGTGCAATACAACATTAGAGATAAACTCTTAACTTCCCTCATGGTTATAGCTGTTCCATTTCTGTTTTATTCTTTTGTTTTCTTTTCGGAGTGACTAGGGATTGAACTCGGGACCTTGCACTTGTGAGACAGGCAGCAGAACCACTGAGCTAAATCCGCAGCTGAGCTGTTCTATTTCTAGAGTTATTTGTGGCTACTAGCTGAGACCAAAGGAAACAGAAATGACACATTCATTCACTGAACACCGTGAACATATAACTCTTTATTCCCATTGCCTTAGTACAAATACAGTCAGAACTGGCTTCTGAGCCTCTTAGGCTTCAAAGAAGGCAAAGGTTAGGAAGGGTTAACATCAAAAGGCAAAGAGAACTTCATTCTACTCAATGTAGCACTGATGTGATTAGGGAAAACAGAATGGTTAGAAGCCTATCGAGAAAAATGGAAACAGAGTTTCTGTAAATGGTGAAGGGAAGAAATGTTGGACCATGGTGAGGGTAATGGAAAAGAAAAGAATTAGGATATACTAAGTACAGGTACAAATTCTCTATGATGAATGTGAGCACCATGCATGGCAAATACATACTAATTTTTAAAAAAAAGAACAGAGAAAGGGAAAAAAAGAAACCTACTGTTAGCCTATCTCCATGATGTAATTCTCACCAATAGAATCATTCCTTTCAGTTTGTTTAGAAATCTGTCAATATATGCTAGGTGCTCTCCTAGGTGCCAGGAGATCAAGGAGTGAAAAAGGCTAACAATTCTTATGCTTATAAAGCTTACATTCTGCAGGTAGGAATCAATAAACAAATATACACACACACACATACACAAATACACATGTAAGTATGTAAGATGGTATAAATGCTCAGCAGAAAAATAAAGCAAGAAAGGGCAATAGGTAATATACAGGAGGATTATAATTTTGTATAGGTGGCCAGGTGAGGTAGGAAGATGACATTTGAGTTAGAGTTAAAAAAAATAAATAAGAGAACAAAATCATCTCTTTTTCCTCAAGAAGGTAATTTATTAAGTTACTAACAACTTGGGTATGGAATAACTTTACCCACTGTGGTATTCAAGGGGACAGAATTTGAATTTTAAGATAAAATAAAAACTCAGGTCCTGGACAGCCAAGAAGCCCTAGGCTCTGGAAAGGAAAGGGAATAAGAAGTTATTCCTGGAGTATGGAGAGGAAAGAGCAATATAAACTAGGTGTTCCACAATATTTCTTGGGGATTTCCTTTTAGAGCTAGAATGGCAAATACTGCCAATAACATTCTGCTGAAGAATTTTTTTTTTTAACCAAGAGAACCCTAAAGAATTATGAGAAAACAAGAAGGAAAGAATGAAAACACAAGAGGGCAGATTCTTTCCATATATTTATCTGATGGCAGATACATGCCAAGAGTTATATAAAAGTAAGAGATGACTGCTATAGTTTGTATTTGAAAAACATCTTCCAAAAGCCTATGTATGAAAGGGTTGGTCACTGTCACGGTTTATATCTAGATGCCACCCATAACCTCATGCACTCCTAGGTGGGATTTTGGGAAGGTGAATGAATTATGGGGGCTTATAGGTGACTCCCTGTTAGGAGGTGGGGTCTGGTCAGAAGAGGGAGGTTACTGAAGGGGTGGCCTGAAAGGGTTCATGTCCCTCTCCAGCTCCTCCCTTCACCCTCTGCTTTCCAGCTGCCACGCCACGAGCAGCTCTCCTCTCCCCAAGGCCTCCCACTATGTCTTCCCACCTTAGAGCCAGCCAACTATGAACCGTGAGCCAAAATAAACTTCTCCTCCTCTAAATTGCAGGTATTGGGTATTTTGTCCAGCACTGGGAAAAAGGACCAAGACAGTCCCCAAGGCGGCGGTACTGGCAGGTAGTAGAGCCTGTGACAGTGAGGTCTAGCAGGAAGCATGGGCACTCCCTTGAAGGGGACTGTGGAACCCCAGCTCCCCGCTCACGATGTAAGTGATTTTGCTCCAACACGCACCCCACAAGATGTGCTACCCCACCACAGCCCCAAAGTAAAGGGGACAATGATCATGGACTGTAACCTGTGAGCCAAAATGAAATGATTAGCTAAGATGTTCTATTAGAGTGACATGAAGGTGATTAATGCAGGTTTTAAGGCAGGAGCTATAGAAAGGCACCTAAACTTTTACTTGTCCAACTAATTATTTAAGCCATAAAATGCTTAAGTTCTATGTATGTACAAAGTAAATTTTTATTCCATTTTAAATTTAAATAATACTTTTTAAACAAAACTATCAATGTTCTTCACAATATCTAATATTATAAGTGACTCCATACTGCTCTGGATTCTTACTATCTAAGAAAATGGATTTGTCCACCAGTATAACATCATCACCAAAAGCGTATTTTAACTGAGATATTCAGCAAGAGGAAAAATAAATGAGACAATACTTGTAAGCCATAAACATTAAATGAGACTACTGGAAAGTCAAGAGTAAAATCCATTAGCCACGACATCAACTTTACACCTGGTATTACGATAACCATGAAAACCTAAACTTAATTAGAAAGCAGGTAGGTTAACATAGCGGGTTCCTTAACTTTTTTTGTTTGCTTGTTTGAGACAGGGTCTTGCCATGTAGTTCAGGCTGGCCTTGAACTCATGGCAATCTTCCTGCCTCAGCCTCCCAAGTACTGGGATTACAGGCATGCAGCACCACACCCAGCTTCCTTACTCCACTTTTCTGAGTCCACTTTCCCCTCTGTAAAATGAGGGCTCATATGGCCCCTGCAGAGAATCAAGTGAGATCATGCACGCAACGCCCTCTGCATAGTGCCTGGCACAAAGTTAGGCATCCAATAAATGCTGCCAGCTGAGTCATCTTTGTCATTAATGATTTACCTGAGCAGCCTTCGCAAATGTTGGCCCATGGTAGTGGCCACCTATGCGCAACACATCCTCTGTACAGTAAAAAAACTCTGAGAAGCCATAGAACTCGCTGTTGTTAAAGTCAATTGGCGATTGGTAAATGCCGTTCAGTGAGGCCTGGCTGGTGTTGGAGCGGGCCAGCAGGGGGCTCAGCATCATCCCACAAGTTGCCCAGTCTCCCTTTCCTCGGATATGCAGGACTTGGCTGTTTCTCTCCACCACATCTGTCAGTCCCACAGGCAGGCAGGGGTCCAGAAATGGATTGTCAGGACTCAAGCCTGTCTTCTGGCCCAGCAATCTGTCACAATGACAAAAACAAAACATGAGACTAATGAACTCAATCGCACTGAAAACACACAATGTGCTTCACAGATACCTTGTTGTTTTCATAACATCCCTAGGAACACAGGTGGAATGGAGTTATTACCTTGAAGTGGCATCGTATGTACAATTAGCTAAACTTACAGAAAAGAGGGAGAGGGAAAGAGGGAGGGAGCGAGGCCAGTGATCAGTTTTATTCAACCCTATTGTCAACATGTCCATTTCCCAGTGTATAATGAAACTGGAGATATGAAATCGGCTGTTCTTCATCTGGACTTCACTCCTCTTAAAAAGTATAAGGTTTTCACCATGCTGAGTGTCATTCTTCTTTAAAAATACAACTGCAGGCCCAGCATGGTAGTGCATGCCTGTAATCCCAGCATTAGGGAGGCTGATACAGGAGGATCACCATGAGCTTGAGTTCAGCCTGGGCTACATAATGAGTTCAAGGCTAGCCTGAACTACAGAGTGAGATTCCCAACTCAAAAACAAAAAACAAACAAACAAACAAAAAAACTCTGGAGGCTGAGGGAAGAGGATCACTGTGAGTTCGAGACCAGCCTGGGCTACATAGTGAGTTCCAGGTCAGCCTCAACTACATAGTGAGACCCCATCTCAAAAAAACAAAAAAAATAAAAACAAAAACAAAAACAAAACAAAACCACAAGGAGGCAAAGTGGGAAGGACAAGAGGAGGGTGACAGGAGGAGGGACCATGGCCCTAGCACAATGGAAATGCCTGGCTTTGAATGACCAGTACTGAGGCAGAAAGGTGGAGAGGTAGGAGTCTGAGCAGACAGAGGAGGAATGCCATCTGATTCCTGCCATGGTCATCACACAGTCCTAGTTCTTTAGTCTACTTGTCCAGCAATTGTGTTCTCATTCCCAGAGATTAATATGCAGGATGGAAATTACATGGAGACAAATAAACTTGCCAGTTGAAGTTAATTATTCATCAGTTTCTAAACCACCAGATGTGGAAGAGTGGCCTTCCTAGGCTGAAAATGCACCCGGCAAGTGTGAAGACAGACCGAAGGAGGCAATGCAACAGAATGCTTTCGAACAGCTGGAATCTGACTATTTCAAGGACATGTCACCTGTAAGGAAAACTCAGAAAATTCTTCTTAAGAAGATGAGACATAGGTCTCTCTAGTAGTTTGGTAGCTACAAAAGAAATATCTTTTAACCCTCAAACTCCTGAAGCAGGTGGTGAGTTAGATACTTGGCCAGAAAATACCAACGCATTGAAATACCTATGCTGTAACCTGACAAGAAATTCTGAGGCATCAGAGGACAGCAGACAGAAAAACAGAAGCAGAACAGCAAAGAAAGAAAATGGAAAAAGGAAGAGCAATATGACTGTCACAACCCAGCAGTATTTGTAAGGATTCAGGAGTCCTCTTCAGAAAACACCCTGCTTGGTGTTAATGCTGCTACAATCACCCAGACATCAGGATTCTCCCACATTGAACTCTTAGTGATTAGATGTGTGTGACAATTAAAAAGACTTATATGATATTATTTTCTTTGACATGCTCTAAATATAAGATAATTGATTCCTATGGAGAAATTATTACAAATGGACACACTATAGTACCTCTTCAAGCTAGTTTTTCTAGCTACATAAATAAATGTAAATATTTTTGTGGTGGAAAAGAAATGTCTGTTATGCTTTCCTTCAATATGCATAATGGTAAGTAATTTCAAATAAACAAAAAAAAAACATCTCACAACTGTGATTATGGTCATATTAATTCATCAGGTTTTCAAGTGAAAAATCAGTGATTTGTCCAATGCTGGAAGACAAACTGGCTATTCTAGACTTAGTAAGTTTATTTTAAAAGTTGATTTTTACTACAAATGTTTTATTTTTTAATGCATACTGCAGAAGCTAATGCATACTGCACTAGCATGTAACAGAAATTAGGTGAAGCTACATTATAAACATTCAATTACAGGAGAAGCACACCTGCTCCCGACCGAGCAGCCATCGCTCAAGCACCGGGAAGGTAGGCCGGGCCCGATCCACCACGGGAAGGAGAACCACGCCTGCTCCCGACACAGCAGCCATCGCTCAAGCACCGGGAAGGTAGCCGCGCAGGCACCCCTGAACCCCCATATCCCCCCCCACACTCTCAGACCTCCTGACTGTGGAAGTCTTTGGACCCACTCTGCAAAGACAGAGGTGGTCATCAAGGGTATTTTTCTGAGTTCCCAACTTTGAACATCTTTAAAGAAAGGGCGTGGGAAACCTGTAATAGAACGTTGCAGAGTTCAACCATTCAGAAGGATGGGGAACTCAATCTGGGCCTTGCAGCCCGAGGTCAGTCAGCATCATGGGGTTCAGCAATCAGCTAACTGAGATCAGGGGTCTTGCATCCTCGCTCTGTCTGAGCCATTAAATGGTAAATATACTATATTGAAAAGTTTGTTCACTGCAGACATGTTCTGGACTGCTTCTTGTTTTCAATTTAATTCAAATGATTTAAGGGTGATAGACTAGTGACTACCACAGGTGGTCAGTGTCCAAGTTGTGCTTGATCTTAATGTGTTGCTGATTGTATCAGTTGGGGTAAAGCATTGCCGCTGATTTGATGAGCTGTTTTCTCTGATGTTATGAAGATGAGAATGTCTGTGGGTCGTTAGAGACACAGAAGGTACCGTGCAACTATATCAGGAAGATTTGGGTGATAATCCAGAGATTAAGCCAAGGACAGTCCGACAACAAAAATTAAAATGAGAAAACACTTAAGCAAGACACAAGGACAGACTTCCAGTTCACCAATGGCAAA